GACTGTCTCAATTCTATGCTGAAGAATGTTCGTGGCCTTCAGCTTCTCACCTGGTAAGACTAATTGATATGGGTATCTAGCTATGAGATTAACTAATTTATGACGTTCCATGGTGCTTAGATGACTCGTGCGGATGATTCTCAACAATTGAGTAATGCGCTTAGCTTCGTCACGCTTATCTGGCAAAGCAATTTCATCGATTTCGACCAATACCTCTGGGACTCGCTTAATCGTTGGAACAAGTAATATAGCCGTAATGTCTTGGTTGGACGAGTTTATAGCGCATACCCGGACCCTTCCATCAAAAAGCGATACTAAAGCCTCACCTACATGAACATCCGAACCCAAATTGATTCGCGAAAGGACCCCTTCTTTCAATCCTCTTTCTGCTGACACCGGAAATTCTACGTAGGTTCTCGAGCGTGCAGGTAGATTGATTTTACAACTATCTCGTTTTCGTCATTTTTGTTGAATTTCATGTTTACCTCTTCGTTCTCTAAAAATTCAACTCCTAAAATACCGTCTCCTTTTACAGGAAAATCATCAGGAATGACTTGGAAAACTACGCGAAGTTTGTCAAGTACAAGCTCCGTCTGGCCGATTATTTTAACAAGACCGCTACCGATGCCAGTCAAATTATATTGAACGATATTGTCAATTGAGGATTCCGAGTCGAGGCATTTAGCCTTAATGAGATTTAACCTGCATCCAGTATCTACGAGGAAGAAATTTGTATGGCCAGTTTCGCAAAAGAGTTGGATGAAAGGATCGACCGATGATTTTATTTCGCTGGCGCTATAGTAGACGAGTATTGAGCAGGAGGCTGTCTGTTCGCAGAGCTCGATCGCGCCTCAGTCGATGGAGCTGCGCGGTCGTATAAATGATTCTCTCGATCATTGTAGGAGTCTCGCGAGTTGTTACCTCGACGTTGATTGCAGTTTTGAAATTGATTTGGTTGATAGAGTCGTCCTCGAATTGGACCATTAGCGTCCGCGTTTCTACGTGGATCGGATCTACAAAAACGTGCAATATGTCCCGGCATGTTACATTTGTACGTAGCAACTGCGCTCCTCGAGCCGTTGTTTGGGGTATGGCGCCTCGGTAAGCGGCGAGCTTTCTCATTTTCGACTGGTGGAGTTCAAATTACGGTCCGGTGGACTCCCGCGCTTTTCTTCCCGAACATGTGCTACAGCAGCTTGATTGTCATTGCGTTGATTGTAGTGCGGTCTTCTGAAACCGTGATGTTCACGTAAAGCTTCCCTCTGCTTAACCTTCATTTCTACTTCAATGCCCATCGCTATTGCCTGCTCGAATGTCTCTGGTTTCCTATCCTCGACACGATTGCTAATGTCGTTCCTCATTACACCAGCCACGAAACAGTCGCACGCGCTCTCCTTGGCACATCGAATAACAGATGATGCATCCGGCGCAAACTTATCTCGAGCCACATTTATAAGCTTATTAAGCAAAAGGCTGACGCGGTTATTGTAATCCCTGATCGATTCATTCCTGTTTTCCACGACGCGGTTAAATTGTGCCGATAACTCCGGATAGTCTTCGGCACCGCGGTAATGATGTTTGAGATTGCGCAAAAAGGTCTCCAAATCTTGGGAATCATCGCGTCCGTGTAGGTAGTTATCAGCGTTCCCTTTGTATTTAACGAGAATCATGTCAATAAAGAGGTAACGCGCCTCCGGTTCCACAAACTTGTAAGCTCTCTCGCAAGCTCGCCCAAAGGATTCAACGCAATCTCCCTCTCCCTTAAACTCCGGAACCATGGTCAGAACCGTCTTTAGGTTAGCTGAAAATACGGTATTGCTGTCTGCGCTCAATCTCATCGATGCCGAGATACCTGATGCGGAAGCCGTTTCATCATCGCGATGGATGGAGGCACTAGAGCCGTTAGTGTTGATGGGTGCGGGTACCAGTGGTAGGTCGACGATATTGCGTTGACTGTGATCAATAATCATTGCGCTTTGAGTATCCGTATAATCGTCGCTATCAGTTTGCGTAGATATGCTTGCTACTGAGGCAAGTCCGCGTATGCCTCGCGCACTGCGTCTGTCTCGACCGCCTTAATTACCCGTACCATTACCCCTTTTTCTAGCTGAGCCTGTACTTACGGTATGTACGGTATCTACGGTCATCGTACCTCGTGTACCTCTTGCGAGGGGTAGAGCTTCGCGGCTCCCGCAATTTCTATGAGAATTTCTGTGCATGTTCATTATATATATATATATATATATATGTGTGTGTGTGTGTGTGTGTGTGTAACAATCAACTCTTAAATTTCTAATTGCTTCAATTTTCGAAAAAAAAACAAGAATTAAAGCTACTTAAAAACTAATTAATGTTCAAGTTCGCTTCAAATGACAACAACTCCCTATTGATTTAGTGTCGTATGCGATAAAATGAATATTTAAGTTATTATGAAGTTTATTTATTTAATCAGTGTATTTATAAAAATAAGACATCTACTCTGCGTTTAGTTAGTCCGTTTTTATGAACTGTAAATTTTACTGTGTCATATGAATTTAAGATTAATAAAAATGCAAAAATAATTGAAAATTTCTAGATATAAAATGAAAATAATTATTTATATAATAAAGATTTTAAGGTAAAAAAAACGATACACCATCAACACAGAGCTGTTAGATCGGCTTACATTTACGCATAATTATTTCTTATATAATACGAAATAAAGTACCCTAATCGCGATGGTCACTTGGTAAAATAAGGACTTACTTTGCTGATACTGCGTTTGCTGCCTGTGATTTTTGGACGACTGCGTGGCGTGGTCGCAAAAATCGCTTACCCTGGAATACACCCTACGCTCCGTGGAAAACACGCCCAAAACCACAGAGAGGGTAGTGGCACTTACACAAACTGCACGTTTATAGTCACAGTCAAAATAAACACCTGTAATAGTCAGCGATGTATCCAAAGTCTCGAAGTATCATCAAAATTCGCACGCACGCACTATGGTTCACTTGCCGCTTACACCTAGCCGTGCCTCCGTGAAGTATTTCTTCTCTCTTCTTGTAGATGTTCGCTTCGTGATTTTTGTTGCTGAACTTGATAACGAAGGCCACCAATGATTTCGCGTTTGAATTTTGCGAATTCTAGATCACTGCCACCACTGTAATATCTCCTCTCCTATCTACACTTTTGGTTTGCGCGCGCAACTCACGTGAATTTAAATAAGAATTAAAACGTGGTTCGGGTAACTTTTGAAAAGAAAACACAAAATTTACTTTGAAGAGGACTTAACTACCCGTAAGCCTCTATATATATTTATGTGAAAATAACAGAGCTAACTAAACGGTTCGGTAGCGAAATCGAGTCTGAACTCGCGATGCGGCGTCTCAGCTCCGCTTGATGCTGCTTGCTGTCATTCGCGCATGCGAGGGAGGGAAAAGGACGTCCCTTTTCTAGGCACTGGCGAATTAGGAGGTTGGTTTTCTCCTCCCCTGGCTCTCAGTCTCGGCCTCTCTTCTCTCCTCGCTGATGGTCCACACGTGCGGCGTAGCTGTTCGCAATGGTGACAAAATTTAATGGGCTTTCGGCGGGAAACCCATTAAATTTTGACGATTTGAAAGTCGTCAAAAAAAGTTGTTTTTCCTTATTTTTTTGAGCCATCCTTTACGACCCGCTGTGTCGTAGCACCCAAGTGACCATTTACATTTTTTACGGTTATGCTAGCCTATTAGCGCTTGCTTTCTATTTTCTTATGCACGTAGTTTACGGCTTTTACTTCGCGTACCTGACGATACGTGACGTTGGTTCGTTACAACCTCGACCAAGAAAAGGCAAGCATGAGGGGATGCGCACACACTCGTAGCTTGACACGGCGCATATACTTTGGCGAGAGCCCGACGGCTGTACCGCGATTGTTCGGTACAACAGTCGTAAATTTAAATGTAAATAATTCAAATTTTAGTACCGCAAAGTGTACTGAAATTTCGCCCACGTTTAAAAGTAACTAAATTAAACATATTCTATAAGTTTCAGAAAATTTTCAAAGAAATGATTTTACCCGAGAACGTCCTAAACTCTTCCATTATCATCTGGTCGTCTCACGGCATCTGTTGATCCTCAATATAAGCTACGTTTTTTTTTTGCAAAAAAAAATTACATACTTTACAAAACACCTTTTACGAACTAAAATACCTTAATATTTGTCAAATACTTTTAATTTTTTTTTATTTATCTGATACAATTTTTGAGTTTTGGATACTCGATTTTCAAAAATGTTCTTTAACCATATTTAAACGTTTAAAAGTATTTCTCGACTAATTCTACAGGTTTCAAAAACAGAAAAAAATGTTTTGGTACCGACAAGTCAATTGATATTAAAAAAACTTAATCAAAAAATTTATGTTCTTTTTTAATATATGATAATAATTTTTCGATCATATAACTTTTTTTCAACTAAATTTGGAAAATGCTCCCGTGAAAACTCGAACTCGAACCTAAACCTACTTATTTGTGAATTTTTTCCGATGGAATTTATTATATAACAAATAAAATGTGATTCATGAAAAAGCGTTTCACGAGCGTTATTAAGTTAATACGTACAATAACTTTTTTTGTCTCAATGTAAGTTGAAAAATATTTAGTGGAATCCAAACTAAATAATTTGGTAAGATTGAAGTTATCAACGATTATTAATTTACTATCTGAAGAACCAAGATCATCAATACTACATTAACTATTATATATATATATGTATATATATATATTAAAATTTTCTTAGGTAAACAAATTAAACTTTATGTTAATTCAAATTGGTAGGTTCATGAATATTTAACCTAAATTTTTTTACAAAAATTATAATGTTAAAATGAAAATTAAGTAAAAAAAATATTGGTAAATTTAATAGACATTAACACATCTCTTCAACAAACTTTGAAACACTGATTCAAATATATATTTGTCACCCCTATAATTCCTATATTGATTTAAGTTGAACTAATATAACAAAGTATAATAAATTTATCGATTTATTTATTTTATTTATAATTTATTTTTATGATTGTTCTGCATATAATCATAAAAAGTTCATGAAAATCCATCCCAATAGTTTTGACAAATAATAATTGAAAGGTAGTATCTATGAATCGATGTAAACTCCACTTTTACTGAAACTATTACTATTTATATGAACATATAAAATATGTTACTTATTATCTATCGTAATTTTAATTATATGTTAGTGGCTTTCTCCTTTTTTCCCTGTAACTCTCTTGAAATCTCCCATATTTGTAGTTGAAATAGGTGAACCAATGATCGATAAATTATCTATTTGAGTGGTTTCAGATCCACTTTGATTATCTTTTACAAAAATTTGCAAATTTTGAACATTTTGAAATTTAACGTATCTTAACTGAACAGGATTACCTTCCTCTATATCTTTAGGAGACAATCTGCAAGTCAAAACGGAAATTAATTATATTTTATTTGATAAGCTGTATTAAGAAAAAAAAGAATACATCTCAAAAAGCATACAATAAATCTTGAACACAAATATTAGAATCTGCCATATCAAAATCTATAGTCCTAGGTTGATTTATAAAAAGTTTTAAGTTTTTTGGACCCTTCTCAGGTGGAGCTTTAATTTTCAATGAGTGAACTTTTACAGCTTGTGTAAAAGTTATAGATATTATCAATTGTTCATCACAGTCACTTTGTAAATAGCCATTATTTGATGTTAAACAATGTTCCAAATTATGATCATCAGATTCATTTAAACATTCACATTGAGCGTTCATTATAAAAGAACTTAAATCCATCTGTAATAAAAAAATTTAGTTTAAAAAAAAATAAAAATTAGGTTTTATTGTTCCATTTTATAAATAATGATTCATTTGTTACTATGATAATTATTGATTCAAAGTTCTATATTGTTATAAAAAGAATGAAACATATTATATTTAAAAGAAAATTATAACTAAGTAAATTGGTTATGATGTTAAAATTTTGCAATTTGTTGAATTATGTAATTTGTATTTATTTTAAATCAATATTTTATCGTAGTTTGATTATCACTATATCTGTAATAAGAAAACAGAGAATCAAAATGATATAATTAAGAATTATAAAATGGCAAGAAATATTTATTCTAATATGTTTATCATTGAATAAAAAGCTTAGATTAAATAATAACTAATTTCATAAGATATGATATTTGAAGAAGTTTAACTTATTTAATTATAAAACATTAAATAATTTTATCTTTTAAAATTCTTTCCTCAAGTATACGTAACTACAAGGAGTAAAAACATTCCTAAAACATGGTAATATAGATTATGAAGATACATACATGGCCTACAACAGATCCATCAGATTCATCAGATTCGTTAGACCCATAATAATGCTGGACCTTTACTTCTAATCCATTTGGGTCAGCACCTTGACAGGAATCAAGTTTAACTCTGTTGCGGTAAAAAATAAAAGTCGGCATTGCATTGACACCTTGTCCAGCTGCAGTTTCAGCACATTGATCAACATCAACTTTTAAAAATACAGCATTCGGGTATTTTACAGATAATTGTTCAAATATTGGTGCAATTCTCTGACATGGACCACACCTAAAAAATAACATAAGAAACCTTATTTAAATATATTATTTTATGAAATATTCAACGTTACAAATAATAAGACTTGAAGTAAGTGTAAACAATAATTTTATTGACTGTATATACATATTATCCAAACATTCTATATTTAAAAAAACATACCAAGTAGCTGTAAAATCAACAATAACAAGTTTGGTTCCGGCATTTAGCAATTCTGCATGAAAATGGCCCTCATTATTGATAACTCGTACCAATCCCATGATTAAATATGTTTTGACACTACCACAAAAATTAACATCAAAAGGAAAAACTAAGAATTATAATCGATACTTTCATGCAACACACACTCGATTGTTACTAAACTATCATGGAAGCTATAGTGCAGTATTTACAGTATTACAATTGCTACTTAGCATTGATCAAATAATGACTGGCGTTTTTATTCAAGAAGTGAGAGAGGAGACCCAACTCCGTAAGTAAAAATAGTGAGATTAATACAGGATTGGTGATTCTGTTAAAAAGCTTCCAGCAGTTAACTTCAGATCTCACAATTTTTGTAAAGCAGGAACGAAAATTGTGAGGTCTGAAGTCAACTGCTGGAAGCTTTTCGACAGAATCGCCACCGCCCTTACCCCAGCCACCAAAGTGTAGTGGACAGTGTAAATAAAAAATACCATTCGAAATATCTCTAATTGAACCCCCCAAAAATGCTCATTATTTTAATTGAACCCCTTCAGTTGTTCCAAAAGAAATAAAAAATTATGATCATTTTTTCGTTTTTTTGCAACTACGATATCTTTAGTAATACTAATACTTTTGTAAAGAAACAAGGCAAAAAAATTGAACCTTTGCTCGTTTTAATTGCACCCCTGTTACTTTTTCAAAATTATTAATATATATGTCAAAAACAACAATCTAATTTTATTGTATGTTCGTTCCAAATAGATTATTGGGTTATTGAAAAAGTAAGAGGGGTGCAATTAAAACGAGCAAGGGTTCAATTTATTTGCCTTATTTCTTTGCAAAAATATTAAGTATTACTAAAGATATCGCAGTAGCAAAAAACAGAAAAATTATCATAGTTTTTAATTTTTTTTGGGATAACTGAAGGGGATCAATTAAAATAATAAGCATTTTTGGAGGGTTGGGTTGGGTTCAATTAGAGATATTTCGAATGGTATTTTTTTTTTCACTGTCTATTACACTTTGCAGGCTCAAAAAATTTTAAAACGGATTCTTAAAGAAAAAATGTCAAGGAATTTATTAAAAAAAGAATTTTTAAAATAAAAATAACACTTTTTGAGATATGGGCAATTGTTTAAAAAATGTTAATAACTTTTGGAAAAATTGATATTAAAGTATTGTTCGCTTAAGGGGTTAGGTCCAGTTGTAAGGCTAAAAAAAACGCTTTTTTTGCACATTTTTTGTGAAGACGGGTTTTATTATTCATGAATAAATCTTTTTGTACATTAAAGATACACATTTCAAGAAGTTACAAAAAAATTTTTATGTCAAAATGTCCATAATATTAGGAGATATAGTAAATTTGCCGAGACTCCAAAAAAAAAGACGTTTTGCGGTGGTCACGATTGCAGCAGTCTGGATCATCTGCAATAAAAAAAAACGAACGAGGATCTTTAGTAAATCAGTTAATGCTCCGGATGGACGAAGGGTTTAGTCATATTTTGATTTTTCGCAACATGGCGGACGTTCAAAGTCAAATTTTTTTTTTACCCAAATTTTCGTCACTTTTTCGGCTGTAAAAAAAAAAACTTTCATCGTACGAAAAAATCCTTCGTCCATCCGGAGGGCAATTATACGTAAAATAAGTCGTTAAAATTTCAAGAGGATCGATATAACCGTTTTCGAGTTTCAGTGATCACTGACTTGGAGAACGTGGTTTCGAGAAAAACGCCTTTAAAGTTTTGAGTATGGTTTACATGCAGATAAAAATTTTTTTACATACCTATACAGTATCATCTATTCCAGGACCATACAATGTACCTTCCTTTTGCTTATCAGCTGCCCAGCAGCGATTTTCTTCCGTCGCAGAGCAACTCTGGCCTCTTATGCCATGCTCACGCTTATGCCATGTTCCGTCTCCAGAAACTGTTATGTCACTATCTGCTTTTGCACCGTGTTCAGCATTTGACGCAATTTCTTCTCTAACCGCCTTTTTCATAAACAATTCTGCGACGTGTTTACTCACTTGAGAAAGTTGATTTAGTATCATGCTGTACGTATTTTTAGCTAGAAACGGTGGCAAGTCCATCAATGCACAAAATTTTGTTGCTCCTTTATAACCAATACCTAATACTCGCATTGCTAATATAAATCTACGATTTATACTATAACTGTGACCAATTTATTCACATGATGGTATATATTGAGGCGCGCAACTCTTACACGTCACAGAAATTTTAAATCCAAGGCCACGTTGCCAATAGCCACTGCTCCGCTGCATTTCGCACACTTAACAAGACTCGAAATCACTGAAAAAATAGTCAAAAAATTCAAAATTCTAAATTCAATCGAACCGTCTTTAGGCACATGGTATTCATGTTGATCCTTGAGTTTTTCTGCTGACGCACTCATTCCATTGTCTGAAGCCTCTGCAGCTTTGGGATTAAACGACTGCTTTCTTTTTCTACTTCTTACCTTATAAACGTGGTCACTTTTTCTTGACTCTCTCGACACTTTTTTATCCATTTTACACTCACAACATCGAAGTTATTTGAAAATACAGATGCGCCCGGACCGAGCAATTCAACGTGCGTTCAGCTCAAAGTTTCAAGTTCAACTGCTGCGTAAGCAGCTGCTAGCCGAAAATGTACATTAAAATCTTTCAAAATTTTACAATAGAGATGTATTTCAATGTAGTACAATGTATTTAAGCTATGTATATGCCAGGCAGGTAAGAAAAAGACCCCTATAACTCGAACAACGATCGAACGCACAGCTGCCGCTACCTACCTGTTTTTAGCACTCGAGGTAGGTGTGTTCTAAGTTGTATATCTCGGTGAATAATGGTCCGATTGGTCTAATAATTTCAGGGAATACTTTCAAAATGTTATACTTTTAGAAAATGTAATAAAAAGAAAATCGATTTTTTGAAAATCATGACTGGACCTAACCCCTTAATATCTTTAAAGTACACCCTTTTATGCGTTGTGACGAGAGCAGGCCGTGTGCCGGTTTTTCGTCTGCGTTTCTCCCTTCTTCTCCACTCGGCAAGGCGTGGTGGCCAACGTTGGGCGCATTAAAGTATGCGCCTAACACTTGGCCTTTTTGTTTCAGCGCCAAAGACGGGCCAGCGCAATTGAGCGCAGAAAATTGAAGAGCGCAGAGTGAGTGAGAAAGAGAGAGAGAGAGAGGGAGAGAGAGAGCGAGCATTAGGCCTATGCAGGGATAGGCAGGCGCGAGACGCGTGACCGATAAGCGGCGCGTCGCGTGCCGCCTAACTAATAGGTTGAGGAAGGGAGAGGAGTGAGCGCCGCTGAGCGGCCGCGAGACGAGCGCGAGAAAAAAAAGTACGTGCGCGAGTCCATTCCAGTTCCGGGCAATGAGAAAGGAAGAGAGCCAGAAAAGAGTGAACTAGAAGTCAACACCTTTGATTGGCAAAACAGCAGTGACCAGCTTATTGTCGTTCCCGATAGTCAACTCGAGGGCAGCAGCTTTGTCAGCTATTACAGCCTTTCGGGACAGCAACCTCCACAGCTTCTACTGTCTCCCGGAACAACGATCTCGCCACGGTTGCAGCTCTTCTTGAAAAGCGACCTCGCCATCCACAGCAGTTCTTCCGGGATTGCAACCTCACTAATTGCAGCTCTCGACAGAGTAGGCAGCAACGCAACAAGGTCAAGGTTCTTAGTTCTTTTCTGAATCTCTCTTTCTCTCTACACTCTCTCTCCGGTAATGCGACGAGAGGTGCGCATTGAATAAGATAGCCAGGCATTCACGTGCCGGCTATCTAGAGGTTCGCACTCAGTTTAATTTGTATTAGTGATAGTTGCGACTGGCGAATTGTCAAGGCGCTCACGTGCCGGGCAATTCATCCGGTACAGGTTTCTGCGTAATTTTTAAGTAAGTTTGTAAATAGGATAAGTGCGTGATTAATAATTGTTTAGTTAGGAGAGACCGCGATACATTTGTTCGCGATGATGCTAAATTGTTTATTTTGTTCTATTCCTTCGTTAGTTGGTCAATAATTTTAGATTATATTATGCGCGCGTATGTTTAGTGTGAATAATTATTAATAATAATAGGTTGTAAGTTTAATTTGATTTTTGTCTTTGTATAATTTATTTATTGACCTCCCCTCTCTTTTCTCCCTCAATTGCCTTGAGCGAAAGTGCTTCACTTACCCCGCAAAAGAATTAGTGACAAGGAGAGAGTATTGTCACAGCGTAATATAAAAAAAATTCGTTTTGATAACTTTTCGTCAAAAATTTTCAATTATTTATAACTTTTGATATAATTTTTATAATGATCTAATAATTTATACTTAAATACACTACCATATAAGCAATATGTAGACCAAGTTTCAAGAAAATCCGAAACCTACCCCTGGAAAGCTGATCGTCATAGTTTGGAATGTTCCAGCTTTTGCATTTTAATTTTTATTAAATAAAAAATAAAAATAAAATACAACAGGATAGACTAAATTTAAATATTTAACTGTATTTTTTATGTATAATGACAGAACCAATAAGAAAAATACTATAACACTAGCACTTTATCAATTCAAAATTTTACATTTGTTTTTACAGAGTAATATTGAAATTCTAATTTGTTATTATTATAACTATAAAATGTAATGTTTTTATTGCAATTAAAACTTAAAAAGTAGTTTTAAGCTACAATATAATAATAAAATTTTTACTTTAATATATTTCAGACTACAAAAAATATTTACGAATGGAAAATAATATTATTAATGGGAATATTAATATTAGGAATAAGAAGTAATTATATATATTATGTCGGTAAATGTCTTGTTAGCGCTATCACCTCAACCATGCGGCTGCCTATGAGGGCAGCACCTACTGGTTGGGGAAAATAAAAAAAGAGAAATCGATATGAGACGGGACGGAACGCGCGCGAATATAAAAGAATCCAGTCGACGATTAGTAATCGGGGCATCTAGCCGCAGTTATCGAAAAAGAGTTTTCTCGAGTTTCCGAGTGCTGAAGCGAGCCAGCCGAATTGAACGGACATCTGCAAAAGCTATACTTTTGTCATCGCTGCCGCGAGAGTGCGAGTGTGTGTGAATGAGAGGTTTCGCCATCAAGGGCGAAACCGAAAGTGTGAGACACCTTGTTAAAAGACTGACGTCCCGGAGGCTAACAAACGAACTTTCCCCTCCCTCTGTTAATAGTGCGACCGCTAAGAAGGTAAGCTGGCCATCTTAGTATCGCGACTTTTCATATGACTGTGCGGAACGAATTATTAATCCCTCGTACTCTGTAAAAATCGACAGCGTGCATGTATTAA